ACAGTTGCTTTTAAGATGTTCGTCAGCAACTGTTCTCATTTGTTCAGATCTTTTGAATAGTTACGCTAATAACTGTTATTTGGTGAATATTTAAAAAAAATAGATCTGTATATTGATTGTAGAATCTCCATATTGAAATGATTATTTTCCAAACATTTTCATTTTGGTCAATGGTTCCAACAACTGCTTAGGTAAAGCATTTGAACACTGTGTCCTTTGTTTAAGGAGAAAGCTCACCTTTCTTTTTGTGCAGAGAAATATATTATTTCGGACATATTTCACAACCCGCCAGGGCAAGAGAGTATAAAGCAGAATCATGTTAAGAGAAAAAGAAGATCATGAGTCACTTAAATATGTATTTTTATTTGTAACAAACAAGTATTAAGCTGTAAAGTATTTTTGTACAAATTTAATACTTTAATAGCATGGTATTTATCGTCTATGTATGGTTTTGGGGAATTCGAAATTGTTGCAAATATTTGTATGGAAAAAAAAATACCAAATGGAATAAACAGTGATTTTAAAAAGTCAAAATTATGACATGCAGTTTTTTGGGTACTTTGATTATATTTTAGTATTCCAGATGAGCCCTACACAATGCTTACTGTACAGAATTTTCTAAAGAGGAAAGGTTTTGCCATCAGTTTGAAAAGCAGCATGGAAGAATGGGAAGAGCATGGCTTTTAAAATCAGATCTCAGTGTGAATTCCAGCTCTGGTACTCACTCATAAAATTTAGTTACTATGAGTCAGTTTCCCCACCCATGGTATTGAAGGTCCTATCTGCACCCCAGGACTGCTATAAGGACAAGATGTCAAAGATATGTTTAAGTCCTAAAACAGCCTGCAGACAGAGACCCTCCCAGACTAATGATACATTTATTTTAGGTAACAAAGACAGGTTTTAATTCAAGGATCATAATAGCACCTGCCCTCAGAGAACATTGTATGTATTCTATGAAATACATTTATATCAATTATTGAAATATACAAATTTTAATGTATGCCATCTTTAAAAAGAAATCTACACTGTAGTCCCAACATTTTCATTTTTGCAGACTATCTTGCAGGCCTTGTAAATTGACAGGAAAAAGGCAAGGATGTCCACCGCCATCCAAGGATTCTCACCACTCCTATTTAACAATTTATTGCAGGTTCTAGCCAGAGCCTTAAGACAAGAAAATTAAATAAAAGGTATCCAGATTGGAAAGAAGTAAAACTATCTCTATCTGCAGATAATATAACCTCATATATAGAAAATCCCAAGGAATTAACTAAAAACCTCTTAAAACTAATAAGTTTAGCAAGATTGAAAGATACTGAAAGATACATGATCAATCATATTTCTATACAGTAGCAATTAACAGACCAAAAATAAGAAAAAAAAAATTCCACTGACATTAGGATCAAAAATAAAATATCCAGGAATAAGTTTAAGAAATGCAAAACAGGGGCACCTGGGTGGCTCAGTTTGTTAGGTGTCTGCCTTCAGTTTGGGTCATGATCTCAGCGTCCCGGGATCAACCCCCACATCAGGCTCTCTGCTCTGTGGGGAATCTGCCTCATCCTCTCCCTCTGATCCTCCTCCCCACTTGTGCGCACATGCTCTCTCTGTCTCAAATAAATAAATAAAATCTTTTTTAAAAATTAAAAAAGTAAAAATAAAAAGTGCAAAACAAAATGTTGAAAAAATAAGAGGAGACATAAATAGACAACCCATGTTCATGGTTCAGAAGACTTAATATTAAGATGGCAATTCTCCCCAGATCTATAGATTCAATACAATCACTCCTCAAAATCCCAACTGAATGTTTTGTAGAAACTGACAAACTGATCCTAAAATTCATATGGAAATACAGCGGACTCAGAATAGTCCAAAATCCTTAAAAGAACAAATTGGAGGGCTCACTTTTCTTGATCTCAAAACAAAGCTAGCAAAGGGCATGGTGCTGGCATAACAATAGATGTATACATTAATGGAATAGAATCAGGAACACAGAATCCAGAAGAAAACCTTCACATTTAAGATCAATTGATTTTTGATAAGGGTGTCAAGACAAGTAAATGAGGAAGGAATAGTTTCTTCAAGAAATGGAGCTGGAAAAACTGGATATCCACGTGCAAAAGAACGAAGCTGGACTGTTACTTCACCATACACAAAAATTAACTCAAAATGAATCCAAGTGCTAAATGTAAAACCTAAAACTATTTAAATTCTTAGAAGAAAAACAGGAGTCAACTTTCATGACTTTGGATCGGCAGAAGTTCCTTGGATCTAACACCAAAGCATAAGCAACAACAACAAAAATGAGATACACTGGACATAATCAGAATTGAAAAATCTGTGCATCAAAGGACACCATCAATAAAAGTGAAAATAAAATCCACAGAATAGGAACTTTTTTTTTTTTTTTTTGCAAATAACATTTCTAATAAGGGACCTTGTATGTAGAATATATAACGAACACATATCTTGATAAAAAGAAAAATAACCCAATTTAAAAATGGGTAAAAGATTTGAATAGACATTTCTCCAAAGAGGTCCTACAAATGACCAATAAGGACATGAAAAGATCATTAACATCATTAGCCATAAGGGAAATGCAAGTCAAAACCAGATTACGGGAAGGCTGCCTGGCTGGCTCAGTCAGTCAGTAGATAGTGACTCTTGAGTTGTGAGTTCAAGCCCCACACTGCATACAGAAATTACTTAAAAAAAAAAAATCTTAAAAAAAAAAAAAACACACACACACATTGAAATATCTCTTCACACCCACTGAATGGCTATAATCAAAAAGATAATAATAGGTGTTAGAGAGAATGTGAAGAAATGTGAAAATAAAATACAAAATGGTGTAGCTGCTTTGGAAACAATCTGGCAGCTCCTCAAAAGGTGAAACAGAGTTACCAGATGACCAAACAATTCCACTCCTAGGTATATAATTAAAAGAAATGAAAATATACGTCCACAGAAAAACTTGTACAGGGATTTCATAGTAGCGTTTTATAATAGCCAAAAAGTGGAAACAACCCAAATGTCTTTCAACTGATGAACAGACAAGTTCAATGTGCTACACCCACACAATAGCGTAGTATTTGGTAATAAAAGGAGAGGAAGGTCTTTCGCCTCATGGCAATAATGACAGCAAGATAGATCAGTGGCAGTTCTGCTGGGGCTACCTGCAAGAATTCGGCCAGAGTTCCTGATTTCTGCCCCATCAGCTCAAACCCACATGGCCTGACCCAGAAATACGGCCTCTATAGACGCTGCCAGTTTCCCCATCAGTCCGCAAAGAATATAGGCTTCATCAGGTTTGACTGAATGAGCTTCCTTGCTTGGACTCTCCAAGACCTCTACCCAATAAAAGGAACAATGCTGGCTCTTTCTACACAATATTTTTTAATCTTTAAAAAGTCCACAATAGCCAAACTGTGGAAACAGCCAAGATGCCTTTCAACAGACAAATGGATAAAGATGTGGTCCATATACACAGTGGAATATTACTCAGCCATCAGATAGGATGAATACCCAACTTTTGCATCAACATGGATGGGACTGGAGGAGATTATGCTGAGTGAAATAAGTCAAGCAGAGAAAGTCAATTATATGGTTCCACTTACTTGTAGAGAATAAGGAATAGCATGGAGGACACGAGAAGGAAAGGAAAAACAAAGGGGGGGGGACCAGAGGGGGGACGAACCATGGAAGACTGTGGACTCTAAGAAACAAACAGGGTTTTTTGCGGGGGAGTGGGGGGTGGTTTGGCCTGGTGATTAAGGAGGGCATGTATTGCCTGGAGCACTGGGTCTTATAGGGCAACAATGAACCTGGAAACACTGCATCAAAAACTAGTGACGTACTGTATGGTGACTAACATAGTAAAAAATAATAATAATAGAGAGAGAGAGGTAGAGCACTAATACCACAACAGAAAGTCCGAAATCATTCTGCTAAGTTAAAGGAGTCAGTCACAAAGGACCACGTATTATATGATCCCATTGTTACGAAATGTCTGGAACAGGCAAATGAGTATGGACAAAACAAATTAGTAGTTGCCTACAGCTGGAGAGGATGAGGGGATCAGAGCCAAGAGGTACAGGGTTTCTTGAGGGGAGCGGGGAGGGTGATCAAAATGTTCCAAAACCCATTGTGGTGGTACTAGCACAACTCTGTGAATATACTAAAAGCCGTGGAGTTTTTAAATGGGCAAACTATGTGTAAATTATATCCCACTGAGGCTATTTTTCAAATATTGGAATCACAGGTAAATTTTTTTCTTAACTTTTTCTTTTACCATTTAGCAATAAATAACATTCTAAATAATAATAAAAGTCACTCTGAGAGAGAATAATTTTCCCAAGTGGAGTGTTTTCAAAACAACGTATTCCTAGAAGAAGTGAAAATCATGTGACATGATGGTGTTAGATAATGCAACAGCAGTAATCATGGGGACTACATAAATGTATCAAATCAACACGGTGTGCACCTTCAGCTTACACAGTGGCATATGTCAATTATATCTCCAATTAAGGAAAAAAAAAAGTACTCCCAACTCAGAAGGCAATTTCCAGGAAAACAGTCCCGCGTGAAGTGGGTCTGGCCAGCAGGGACGGAGCGAGCAGCCACATTGGAAGCTGAACAACCAGCGGGAGACCCAACATCCTGAAATGTGTGTCAATAACACAGGAGGTGTAATTATGGTTTCTCTCGACCATGGCTTCAAACCGCTGGCCGCGATCACCCACAATGATCACGGAAGTCAATAAAGGCATTATTGTAAAAATAAAACTTACTAAAGTACAGTCTTTTAAACAACACAACAAATTTTGCCTGCATTTATGTCCAGGGCTACCAATTCTCATGATGACCGATGTTGAAATCATTATGGTTTTCTCAGATCCAGTGAATTTAAAATATCTGCTAACACAAACACCTTAAAATAAAACTCCAGTTACAGACAACCTGTTTTGTGTCTTGAGAGTTTGAAGATATGATGTTCATTAGGAAAAAAGACAGAGAATTACTTTGAGCCATCTGAAACAAAATTAAGTTTCTTGATTATTTGTGGATAAGAAAAGTTGCTTGGGGGTTAAACGATTTAGTCTCAAATTCTGTAGTCTGGAAGACACATGCGGAGAGGATTCTTCCACCTGTAAGGACAGCAATAAAAATAGTTTTGTGAAAATATAGTTTACCCTATGTACTTCTATTCCGTCTGACAGCTTCTATGGAAGAAATAACACCTTCCCCCTCCCCCGCCCTCCCCTTGGAAGGTTTGAGCAGACCCGAGCTATCAGCTCCCTGTGGTATCCTCAGCACTCAGCTCTGGGACAGGCATGAAGAAGTGACCATTGGTTGAATGAATACGTATATATAATTTCTAATGGTGTGGCCCCTACATAATTTGACGGCCCAGTTCAAGGTTAAAATGTGCGTCCTTTGTTCAAAGGTAAGACCTTTAAGATGACAAGTACAGAACATTAAAACATGTATGGGGTGGTCTGAAGCACAAAGCCCCGTATGGCTGGCTGCTCAGGGTGCACACCCATGATGCCAGCGTCAGGTGGTAAGACGCGACAGGGCAAGACCCGCATCCCTGGTGCTATTGGTGATTCCCAAGCACAAGGCAATGGACCAGTATGGTCACGAGAAAGCTTCGCCATCACAGGGAAATGAGAAAAATAAGCACAATTCATCTTTCACGATGCTAAATCTGCTCAATTTAGAGCACTTGTAAGGGTTAACTTTATGTGTCAACTCAGCCAAGCCATGGTACCCAGATAATTGGTCAAATACCATTCTAGATGTTTCTGTGAACATATTTTTAGAAAAGCTAAATAAGTCAGCAGATGATGAATAAAGCAGATTACTCTCCATCATGCACAGGGGGCCTCACTTGATCATTTGAAGGCCTTAACAGAAAAAAAGAGACTGACCACCTCCTAGAAAAAGAGAATTCTGTCTGCCTTTGGACCCAAACTGCACTATCAACTCTGGGTCTCCAGTCTGGTGGCCTACCATGCAGAGATTTTGGACTTCGCAGCCTTTACAAGTATGAGCCAAACCCTTAACTAAATCTAAATAGGGGCACGGGGTGGCTCAGTGGGTCAAGCATCTGCCTTTGGCTCACATGATCCCAGAGCCCTGGGATCAAGCGTCCCATGAGGCTCCCTGCTCAGTGGGAAGCCTGCTTCTCCCTCTCCCTCTGCCCCTGCCTGTGTTTCCTCTCTCGCTGTGTCCCTCTTTGTCAAATAAATAAACAAAATCTTTAAAAATAAATAAATAGGGGCGCCTGTGTGGCTTGGTTGTTAAGCGTCTGCCTTTGGCTCAGGGCATGATCCCAGGGTCCTGGGATCCAGCCCCACATCGGGCTCCCTGCTCTGTGGGAAGCCTGCTTCTCCCTCTCCCACTCCCCCTGCTTGAGTTCCCCCTCTCCCTGTGTCTGTCAAATAAAAAAATATTTTAAAAATTAAAATTAAAATTTAAAAAAGTCTAAATAGATGACAGATGATAAATAAGAAGTAGATAGGTAAATAGATAGATAGGAATACAGACACAGACTATTGGTTCTGTTTCATTAGAGAACCTTGACTAACACAAGAACTATCTTTATTTGGGATATGATTATATCCTTCCTAGATTATTTTAAGGACAAAATGTAATTTTCTTTTAAAGAATTCTGGAGGGGCACCTGGGTGGCTCAGTCATTAAGCGTCTGCCTTTGGCTCGGGTCATGATCCCAGGGTCCTGGGATCCAGACCTGCATCGGGCTCTCTGCTCAGCGGGGAGCCTGCTTCTCCCTCTCCCACTCCCCCGCTTGTGTTCCCTCTCTCTCTGTGTCTCTCTCTGTCAAATAAATAAATGAAATCTTTAAAAAAAAAAAAAAGAATTCTGGAAATCACTGCTTTATATGATAAACTTTAGAATATTTATACATATGCTTTTATTTAAAGGGATAGTTTTGTGTTTCCCTTTTTGGTTGTGGAACATGAGGTCAAAAAAACCAAACCAAAACAAAAAACCCCCACAACCCCAAAAAACAAAATCAGGACATTTTCTTTTAAAACTTTTTTTCAAAACCCAAAGATGTTAACCCACAGAACTGAAGCAAACACTTTCATCTAGGAGGGGCTCTGTCATTTAGTACCTGCAGAATTTAAATGCTGATTTGGCTCTGATGTAGCCATGTGGATATGAAGTAAAGGTAAGGGGACAGCCCTGGTCATTGTATCTGAGCTTTTAGAAATCACACATCTCAATGAACTACAAAGTCTAGACACAGAAGTCCCTAATTTACCAGGCCTGAGGCTTTGAATTCTTAATTTCCTCATTGTTAGGGATTTCTGTAGCTGTCACACATTTCTGGCAAACATTGTGAGAAAACTTATCCTCTTCAGTTAGAAAACTTTGCTCGCACTGGAGCCTTTGGACAGTGACAGCAGCCAGCACCAGCCTCTTTGTGTTCGTAGACCTTCTGCAGTGTTGGTCTCGGCCGGAATGTCAAACGTTGGGGCAGTTCAGCAGGTAAGATGGATAATGCTGTCACTGTCTCTTTGTACTACCACAGAAACCATAACTCGCCCACCCTGTGCTGGTTCGAAGAAATAAAAGTCAGGAAACTTTTAGGAAACGACTTTCTTTGGAATTTTCGGTTCCACACCAAATGCCTTATTATCCCAGGGTCTTTGGAAGAGGTAACACATTCCATTTCAGAAAAAGACATTGTGCTGAGATGGAAATTACATATCAGAGAGTTGATCTGGAGCATAGAATGGACCTTAGAGGGATGCCTGGGTGGCTCAGTCATTAAGTGTCTGCCTTGGGCTCAGGTCATGATCCCAGAACCCTGGGATCGAGCCCCACATTGGGCTCCCTACTCAATGGGAAGCCTGCTTCTCCCTCTCCCACTCCCCCTGCTTGTATTCCCTCTCTGCCAAAAAAATAAATAAAATCCTTAAAACAAACACAAAAAAAGAATGGACCTTAGAATCAGCAGGGATCCTACTACTTCCAAGAAGGAAAAAAAAAAAAAGAAGAAGAAACTTTTCTTTTACTATGCCTGCTTTTATCACTTTCCTTACAAAACCTGGGTCTCAGCCTCTTTTCCCAATCCTGATTGATGGTACCTGGATCCCCCTGGATGCCCAAGCCAGAAGCCAAAGACTCACGCTCAGGCCCAACCTCACCCCTCCCTGCAATATATAAATGCCCATTAAATCCCATGCACTACCCCCAAACATCTCTTCTCCAACCCCATCACTACTACCTGACTTCAGAACCTAATCATTCTGTTCAAGCTACTGAAATCATCTTTTTGAAAGGAACTTGGCCCCTATGGCCTCCCAAAACATAATCTACTAAACTCCAAAGTGACCTTCATAAATTTCAATTCACAAAGCTCTTAAAATGCATCTAGTGTTCTCCATCGCATTCAGGAGGATGTCCGATATCTTTGGAAGAGGCTTTGTGCCATCCTGACTCTTCCAGGGTCCTCCGCTCAACCTCTATTTTCAAGCTGTGCTCCAGCCACAAGAGTCCATCCTTGTGGCTGCCTAAGACACCAAGACGTCAGCCACTGCGTAGGCCGGGCACCCACTTAGAGAACTGTTTCACTGTCTCCGTGCCACGTGGGGTCAGAGGCTATACATCTTCTCCCTTCCGAACTCCGCTTGGCCTCGGTAGGTTCCATGAGCACATCCTCCCCTGGGCTCCCACCGTGGCCCCTTCTCCCTGGCACAGCCTTGAAAGCCTCAGGACACTGGAGCGAGTCCACTGGGCAGCACAGACAGCAATCCTTAAGCGACAATCGGAACTGGGTTTGGAGACCACGGATAATTCACCAGCTCCTCCAGTGGAAAGTGGGGATTAACACGAGGCTGGGGCCACCAAAGGGAGGGGTGGGGGATATGGAAGATTTGCAGAAAGAAGGTGCAAGGTGGCCGGTTTCTCCTGCACACCCCCTCGCATCAACAGACCAACGTTTAGCCTAGAGTGGCCGGCCTCCAGCCAAGTGACAGACGGTGCTAGAACCGAACAGGCACAGGACAGAGGACAGCTGAGAGAGATGAGAACACCTTGTTTTTAAGTGCTCCAGCACAAGGTGACGCTACTGAAAAACACACAGCCACAGATAAGCACACCGAAATGAGCAGCACTTAAAACTGGAGCTTAACTTAAAAAACTTTAAAAAACTTAAAACTCCTACCATCCGCATTTTGCTTGGACTTTCAGCATCACTCAGGCCACAGGCCCTTTTGGACCCGCGAAGTTCTGCTGGATCTTCCTCTCGGTTGACTTCAACGGAGAAAGATGATGTCCATTCTCCGGGATAGGCAAACGTCCAGTCCTCAGCCGCAGAGGCCTCGCTTCCCTTTCCGGGGACATCGGTGGTCACATTGCTGGTTTCGACTGGAGGGAATGGGGACCCTGAGGGCTGTGTGCTCGGTCCTCTGCACTCTCCAGAGCTCCGCAACGGGGAGGCGAAATCTGTTGGGGACGCACAGCTCCTGGAGAGCTCGTTTTGCAAAAAATGTTTTAAGCGAGTTTTTCTGGGAACGCTGCTTCTCATAATTGCACCCCGGAGGTGAGACTCTTCCGCGATGACGTACACTCGGCAACGGCCCCTGGTCACCGCGGTGTAAACGTGCTGCCAGTGCTGGCGGCCCGCCTTCCCAACCACGTACACGACCGTCTTCTCCTCGGACCCCTGGGAGGGGATAATGCAGGAAGAAGAGTTAATGTTGCGTCACGAGTTCATGTCTTCACACAGCCTCCGTCTACCCAGACAGAAAAGAGAGAAGTCCCCAAAGTGCTACCTGGCCAGAATGTTCCTATAAATCCACCTTACAGTTCCAGTTTATTCATCACCCAAAAACTCATGTTTCCTAATTATGCACTTAGGTTCAGGTCTTAGAGATGCGCAACTGGAGTGTAGAAACCCAACAATAAACTTGAAAGACAGTATGAAGTGCCTAATCTTCCCTAATAAAAGAATGTTCAGTGATCGTATGGACTCTACGTACAAATGTGTTAGCCCATTGGTACTTAAATAGCAAAAAACAGACACCTTAAATATTCAGTAATAAGCGCATAGATAAATTTGCTTCTTTGTCTACATTTATATCAAGTATCTGTATACTGACATTTGATAAACTATTCTGCAAATATCAAAGATGCTTTGAAATCTAACAACATTTTAAAAACTGGATACTTTCACGTAGAAAATGATCACAACTATGTAACACAAAATAAAATTACTCTGATCCAAAAAAGTACATACAAAATGAACATAAATATCTGACAAGTCACAAAAAAAGGAGGAAAAATTCTTATCAAATATTTAACTAGGGGTGGGGCACCGGGGTGGCTCAGTCAGTTAGGTGGTTGCCTTCTACTCAGGTCAGGATCCCAGGATCCTAGGATTGAGCCCCACATCAGGCTCCCTGTTCGGTGGAAAGTCTGCTTCTCCCTCTCCCCCTGCCTGCTACTCCCCCTTCTCTCTCTCTCTCTCTCTCTGTCAGATAGATAAAATCTTTTTAAAAAGTTGTTTTTTAATAAAAAAAAAAAATTTAACTAGGGGCACCTGGGTGGCTCAGTCAGTGAACGTCTGCATTCAACTCAGGTCATGCTCCCAGGGTCCTGGGATCAAGTCCCACATCAGGCTCCTAGCTCAGCAGGGAGTCTGCTTCTCCCCCTGCCTGCCATTCCCCTGGTTGTGCTCTCTCTAATAAATAAAATCTTTAAAAAAAAAAATTTAACTAGTCTGTCTCCAAAAATGGAGGGCGCTACGGATGATTCTTTTTTCTTCTACTTTTCTGTATTCTCCCATTGTTGAACCATTTATTGCTTTCATCATGATAAACAATGCAAAAGAACAATGAACATTTGGTTTTTAAGTTTAGCAAGCCAAGAATTATACAGGCAAGAAAAATGCCCAATGTCACCACGTAACTGTGAGAAAACAACTTCAAGTTTCAGGGCTATTCTTAGTCCCTGTATTTTCAGTGCCAACATAAACTAAGGAGTGCTTTGAATGATTATCTCGTGTCCCCACATCCCCCTAGACCAAAGAATTGTGGGAAGACGAATGACAAGACAGGGCATGCAGAAAATACAGATCCACAGTTAAAACCCTCTTTTTCAACAAGCACTTCTAGCTCTCTAGACACAGAGGATGGGAACCAAGTCTTCAGATGATAAAAGTGTGACAAGCACTTCCTTCAGGTACCGCTGAGTCTCAGAAACCTACCTAAATGACACCTGATCAAATACTAAGTACACTTTATAGATACACAGCACCACTTCTCCCCTTGGACTTTACACTGCGTATACCTAGGCAGGTAAATGCCTAACCTAAACTTAGTTCACTGAGTTCCTGATCATCAACGAACACAGAAAAACTTAACAGCTTCATAGTCGGTCTCCCTCACACTCACACGTGCTGCAACCCTCTGTCCTCGCAGCATCTTGTGATACTTGTAAAAAGCAAATCCAATCGCATCGGACTTTGCTTAGAGCTGATAAACAGCTCCCAAGCTCTAAAAACGAAGTTCTGACTCCATCATATGGCTCACCCGCTCCTTCAAAAGCCAGCCTTGAGCCTGCTGCCTTCCCTTCTCCTTTCCTCTTTCCTTCCCCCCGAGCCACGCTCCACTGGACACAAGGAACCTGTCTGTGGTCCTGCCAGGGCGGACCCACTTGCGGACTGTGCACTCTCCAGCCCCCTGCACTTCCTCTGTCACAGAATGTTCACCGAGCTGGAACAGAAGAGAACAGAACTCTCCACCTTCTTAGCTGTATTCCTCACCGGACTGCAAGCTCCTCCTTATTCACTCTTCTTTATCCAGTGTCTCACTGAATGAAGGATGCCAAAAATGAAATGGTCATGCCAAAGATGTGCTCGGAAAGCAGGATGGGGACACCGAATTTCACCTCCATCACCTGCTAGAAATCATTCGTCCTCTTTTCATACCTTCCTTGAATCATTAGAACTACTGAACTTCTTGAAGGAGGCACGTTTTTATACATTTACTTCTCTTCTCTAAATATGACCTGAAACTCAACATTTAGAAAAATAAACACAAACCATTCATTTCTTTTGAGATTTTATAGACTTAGAATGTGAAAGTGTCTATGGACCTTGGGGGGGGGGGGCAAACCACTTTCTCTGCAAAGGGTCAAAAAATAAGTATGTTAGGTTCTGCAGGCCAGATGTTTTCTATCACAACTACTCAATTCTTTTGCAATGCAAAAGCAGTCATAGCTAATATGTAAATGAACCAGTGCTGCTGCGTTCCAATAAAACTTTATCTACAAAAAATTGACAGTGGGCCAGATATGGATACCATACTAGATACTATAGTCCTAGAAGATGAAGGAGGTGACCCGGCCCCCAATCCTTCTACCTTCCCTTACCTCACATTACTTCTCTGACCTCATCTCTTCTCACTCTCCAATGCCAGCCTCCTTGCTGTTCCTGTTCTTCAAATGTAACAGATAGACTCCCACCTAAGAACCCTGGCCTTAGCTATTCTCTCCACCTAGAATGCTCTTCTCCCAGACACCCACACAGTTAACTTCCTTACCTCCTTCAAGTCTTTCCTCAAATGCCGCCTTCTCAAACTAATGATGTATTACACAGTAACTAACTGAACATAATAAAAACATAAAATAAATAGCAACATGAAATTATTAAAAAAATAAAGTTCGAAATACTTTTAGACTATATTAAAAAAAAAAGCCACCTTCTCAATGAGGCCTATACCAACTACTATTTAAAATGACAGCTTCGGGGCACCTGGGTGGCTCAGTGGATTAAAGCCTCTGCCTTCAGCTCAGGTCATGATCCCACAGTCCTGGGATCGAGCCCCGCATCGGGCTCTCTGCTCAGAGGGAGCCTGCTTCCTCCTCTCTCTCTGCCTGCTTCTCTGACTACTTGTGATCTCTGTCAAATAAATAAATAAAATCTTTAAAAAAAAAAAAAATGACAGCTTCATCCCATATTTACCCCCATCCCGTTTCCATAGCATTTGCCAACTACTACCATAACACAAAGAGCTGACCGTGGAACAACATGGGTTTAAACTGCATGGGTCCACTTATACATTAATTTTTCCTTCTGATAAATACAGTACAGTACTGCAAATGTATTTTCTCTTCTTTATGATTCTCTTAATAACATTTTCTTCTCTATAGCTTACTTTGTTTTTAAGATTATAGGGCTCAAACTTACAACCCGGAGACCAAGAGTCACATGCTCTACTGACTGAGCCAGCCAGGCACCTCCTTCTATACTTTATTGTTAAGAATACCAGTATATAGGGGTGCCTGAGTGGCTAAGTTGTTAAACATCTGCTTTTGGCTAAGGTCATGATCTCAGGGTCCGGGGATTGAGCCTGCATCAGGCTCCCTGCTTAACAGGAAGCCTGCTTCTCCCTCTCCCACTCCCCCTGCTTATGTCCCCTCTCTCGCTGTCTCTGTCAGATAAATAAATAAAATCTTAAAAAAAAAAAAAAAAGAATACACTATATAATACATAGAACATACAAGATATATGGTTAATCATCTTTTTACATTATTGGTAAGGCTTCTGGTCAACAGTAGACTACTAGTAGTTAAATCTTTGGGAAATCAAAAATTGTACATGGATTTCTGACTATAAGGCAGGGTCGATGCCTCAAACCCCCACAGTGTTCAAGGGTCAACTATTGTTTACTTAGTGTTTTACTACTGTGTCTGTTCTCCTTCCTCCTACCCACCAAATGTAATCTTCACAGGGGCAGGTACCTTTGTTTCATAAACTGATCTAAACCAAGCACCAAGAACAGTCTGACTCAATAAATATTTGTTGAACTGAACTGAACTTGGAATAAACAAACTACACTCATACAAGAGAGCAATCATGAATGTTCTTAGAGGTAAGAGATGCTATTTCAACCACAAAATAAGAGCCAGACTCAATAAAAATAACATTTAGAGACAGTTACTACAACCTTAATCGAGTACTAAAAAGACCCCTTCATACTCCATTTGTCCAGAAATGTAAAAAAAGGCTGGATTATAAATTTGACAGAGTCTCTCAGAAAATACAGCAAAATGATAACGAGATGGAAAACAGGACAGAGATAGGATATTTGGATAATCAGTCTGGAGGTTGAACATAGAAGAAATTCTACAAAGATGAAACAGAGAAAACTGAGGACAAGAAATCTTATGAAATTATTCAAGAAAATTCCCCAAAATTACATGATACAAGTTTTCAGAATTATAGAGAGCCCATCATAAAGATCCATGGGAGAAATTGTGCCAGGACCTCGCAGCCACGAACATTTGTACTTCTAAACAATTGTTTCATTTCGTTTTGTTTTGTGTTTTTTAACCCACAGACACAGTCCACTGACAGCCTCTCTCTTGGTTTGAAAATTTAGAGCCAAATCTGCTGTCAACACTAGCAGGCAAATAGGTCAGCGCGCAGATCAGGATTCCATCCCACTTTTAGCAAGAATCCTTTTATCAGCCTTACCTTTATTTTCCACTTCACATCATTACTTTGTCTTTAAAAAAAAAAATCAGGCTGAATTGTGAGCTTTTTTGTATGTCATTTCAAATTCTTTTTGGAGCTGAGATGGAGTAGGTTAATAAATAAAACACCATCTACTTAAACAAAACAAAATCCCTATGCTAATTAATTTTTGCCTACCAGTGGAGGATACAGGCTAACCTAAATTTTTCCCCATGCAAATGTAGGCTGATGCAGCTTCATGATTAGAGCAACATACCAACATCAAAGAGGGGTGCTCAAAACAATGAGTTAAATAACAAAACCACAAAAAAAACTTACAAGAATTCAAAAGAGTTAAAATAGAGCTAAGGGGCACCTGGGTACCTCAGTCAGTTAAGCAACCAACCCTTGATTTCAGGTCAGGTCATGATCTCAAAATTGTGAGATCAAGTCCCACGTCAGGCTCCAAACCCAGTGTGGAGCCTGCTTAAGATTCTCAGTCTCCTTCTGCCCTTCATCATGTACTCCCCCAGCGCCAAAAAAAAAACCCCAGAATTTATATGCAAATTGTACTAAGTGCAATGTTGTATCCAGGATAAGATCCTGGGACAGAAAAAGGATATTAATGGAAAACGGACAAAATCCAAATAAAGTATGTAGCTTAGTTAATAGTATTCTTCTAATGGTAATTCCTTAGTTTTGACAAAAACATCATAGTTGTATAAGATGTTAACATTAGGGAAAGTGGGAGGAAGGGTATGTGGGGACAGTCTGTGCTACCTTTCCAACTGTTATAGAAAACTAAAATTCCCAAGTAGAAAGTAGGTGCCTCACAAGAACAGAGGAAGAGGAAAAATTTATCAAAATGCATCCAGTTTTATAAATATAAATGCCTATGCAAATTATACCCCAATAAAGTTGATTATACAACAGTAAAAAAGTAAGCTGCAAAAATAAACATCCCAGTACCATTTATGTAAACCTTGGTAACCTTGTCTCTCATTCAACAAATAAAGACAGCAAAGGTTAAGAAGAAAATCACTGAAGATACTCTGTGGCCTGGAAACCTGTCCAAATAGCTTTATAAATGTCCACTGTTACCTGAAAAGTGTGGATAGTTCTTGCCCATGCATGTTTTATGTGACAATATTTCATTAGTTTTTCGAAGTCCACAGTTATTTCCAAACCAGCTGCATTATTAATGGTCAAAGATCTTCTCTTTCCAAAAGTTACATCAGTGACATCCTATAGCCAAAACAAAGAACTATTTTGTATGTTTTTAAATATGCACACCGTAGAGATACTCTATTTTTGTGTTGAACATAAAATAGCATGTATATTCACAATTATTAAGAACTTTCAAAAGGCTAAAAACCTATACCTGAGCACAAACTGAACACATATACAGCCAAATTTTAATCAGCTTGAAACTTGACCTCAGTTTGACTCTCTGGAGAACAGTCTTTGTTGTCTAACTTGTTCTGAAGTCTACACATTTCACTTTTTGCACTCTAAGTCTGCATATACTCTTTGCAAAAAGCTGATTTTTCCTCACAACTTATAAACAATAACCTCAAAGTTTAAGAGGGCATTTACACAATGAGAACAAATTCAACGAAACTTCTCATTTCTACAGTTAAGCAGCAACCAAGGAAATGATGCTTTGCAAAATACAGTAAGTGTGTCATTTGTCCCTTATTTTTGCTACCCAAGCTCTTCGAACTTCTTAAAAATGTTTCTCCACAAAGTCTTCCAGAAAACATAAGAGAAAGAAACATGTCCCAACTCATTTTATGAAGCCAGTATTACTCTGACACCAAAACCAGACAAGATATTACTAGATAACTACAAACCAATATCCCTCATAAACATGAATATAGGGTGCCTGGGTGGCTGAGTTGGTTAAGTGACTGCCTTTGGCTCAGGTCATGATCCTGGAGTCCCAGGTCTGAGTCCCACATCAGGCTCCCTGCTCAGCAGGAATCCGCTTCTCCCTCTGACCCTACCCTCTCTTGTGCTCTCTCTCTCAAATAAAGAAAATCTTAAAAAAAAAAAAAAAAAAGTGAATACAAAAATCTTTAGCAAAAAATTATGGAAGAATGTCAACTCTGATATTAGATTCTGAATCAAACCTAGGGTAATTAAAAAAAAAACACATCTATCTCTAATAGGTAAAAAGGTACTATTTTTCTGTTATCACTTGCCTTTGTTATAAAAAATATTTCTCCATTGCAGAGTCGAATATCACTTTCAAAGTCATGCTTATTTTTAGCAAAACCATGAGGAGTACCATTAAAATCGTCACCACTGGCCTCTCGTTCATCACTTTCCTGACTGGGAGAGGTAGTTTCAGGGAGTAACTCTGAGAGATATGCATTCCTGGTACAGCAAATTTTATCACCAACTCCAAACTGAAGCCTATTCCGATGGTCTCTGGGTCAGAAAATGAGAATACGTCATTGAGGTTTGGAAAAACTCAATTTCATTTTGTTTAAGCATTAATCCCGACTCAGATCTGATCCAATTTTCAAAATGATTTCCACTCTCTTTACTTCACTTTTGTTCTCCAAATGTCAACAAGAAATCAGGCTCCCACAGTCATGGTCTGATCACCTATCCCCTCCATGGCACTGCAAACCCAAAGACCCATCCCAGCCAAATTTTTTTCAAGTTAGAAATCTTGGCATAAATGCTGACATCTCTCTTTTGCTCTATGTTCTAAAAGTTACCCAGGATCTTATTGAGTCTACCTTTTAAATTCATCCTCTCCTCTCCAATCTCTCCTATCACTACCCTATTTCATGTCTTAAACCCCACATACACATATTTCTAGTCTAATAATTATGACCTTTATCAGGACAGCAGCAGCAAATTGAATAAACACTGGTGATATACCAGTTACTAGGCTAAGTGCTTTAGAGATATTATTTCATTTCACCCTCACTACAACTGCACAAGGGAAATGCTGCTCGGTATCCTCTTTTTACATATGTGGAAAAGTGAAACTGACCCCCCAGCCCCGCCAAGATCACAGTCACTGGAACACAGACTGGATGACCTCCTGCCGGTGTTCCCTAACCCTCTGTGAGGCTATCTCAGGTGGTTTTCATTGTGGCTTCCCTCAACAGACAGGGAGCTTCTTCTAGAACTTTCATGTCTCTATGTTTTCTACACTTATTAAATAGTAAGTGTAGATAAATGCAAGACAAGTGAGTTAATTCTTCCTGTGTGTAAACAGAGCAAATTTTCCACACTCATATTTCTCTGACAGATGTCCACTAAGGTGCTCTCTGCAGGTATCCAGTTGTTAAGGTTCCCGGACACACCTAGGCACATATCGTATTTGGAAAACATTCTGAATTCCCCACACTCATCTTGGAGAAGCTGGAGGTTGCCAACTTGAAAACCACAAGGAAAACTGTATTCCTTATTTTTCTGATGACACAGATTGCCAAAACAGTCAGTGCCTAAGCATACACATTATATTTAATTGAAGAGATCGTCTGACTTCACAAGTGAGAATAAAAATGATTTTTAAATATGTGGCTACAGTGATAAAGGTCAAGACAAATAAAAGAACGGTGACTAAAGGAAGGACTGTCCTGGAGCTTTTGGATCTTTTGTGCTCACTTGATTAGGTGGCCCGTGTAGTGCTTGCAACAGCAGGCGTTGATGACGTCACAGTCTTGCCTGGAACACATGAACAAGCAAGAAGCGAGGATCACCATAATGGTATCTGTTCTGTGTTTACTCCTGTTACCCACGATGTCAATGTACTACACAAGACTAAAAGTTTCCAGGAAGAGGTCCAGGAGAAAGCATTTTAATTTTTATCTTTCCTTTTACTGAAGTTTTTATTTTTATGTAATCTCTCCACCCAACGTGGAGCTTAACTTCACGACCCGGAGATCGAGAGCACCACATTCCGCTGACTGAGCCAGCCAAGGGCCTCTGTCATTTTTATCTTAATGTAAATCTTTGTTCCGCTCAGATTTTATGGGAGTTTCCAAAGATAATATTCCGTAGCAAGAGCCCTATTTATTTTTTTTTAAGATTTTATTTATTTATTTTGAGAGAGAGAAAGATAGTGCAAGTGGGGAGAGGGGCAGAGAGAGAGAGAGAGAGAATCCCAAGCAGGGTCCACGCTCAGTGCTCAGTGCAGAGCCTGATGCAGGCTGGATCCCACGACCCCGAGATCATGACTTGAGCCAAAACCAAGAGTCAGACGCTTAACTGACTGAGCCACCCAAAGAGCCCTGTTTAAAAACCGCCGTCTGCCATGTCTAACAAAGAAAGACCTCAAGATTAGAGCAAGAATTAGCAGTGATGAATGAGGAGAGTCTCTCATTTAAACAGCATCTATATAAGTTATGAGATTTAAAGGCAAGGCTGAGAACATTAAAATGCTGTAAATGCCTTACCTTCTAAATGCAATAAATTGGGATGTTTGTGCGTCTTGAAGGTCATTTTCTTTGAGTAGGGTTCTAACTGCAGAATATAAATCTGGTAATTCAAGAGAAAAAAGTTAATACAGAAAAGCACCAAAGTACAACATTGTTTTGATGGAGCAACTCAGAATTCCTGCTGAGGGGGCTCTGGGAAATGGAGTACAAGTGGACCATGGGGACGCCAAAGTCATTTGCGACAGCAGCCAGAGCACCAGAAGTGAGAACGACGATGAAGATCCCAGATGCCCTATCCTCAACAGAGGCGTCAACCACTAGCCAGGACAGGTCCTAATTTATAATATAACCACTCGGCACTGATTTCACTTGCTCCCCCAAGACGCCCAGACCTCCCCAGGAGCCAGCAACTAAAAGGTTAACCCCTGACGGCTGGGGCATCCATCCTAAGAGGGGCCATAACTAGCCAGCTAGGAAATAGCTGGACCGCAGACACCGATTATATTCTAGATAGAAATGTGAAGCTGAGGCTCTTGGAAGTAAAAGTCACTTTCCAAATGGCAGAGGGTGGCCGGCCTCCCTTTTAGACCTCGGATCACTGACAATGATTAGAGCTTCCCTCAAAGCACTGAGAAGGAGACTTCCTCTCATCTGTCTTACCAATAGTACAAAACAGTGAACATTTCTCATGAGAGAAGACAGAAAAACTTAGGTAAGAGCATTCTAGGCTTCTGTGCCTTCCCCTTGTAGCAGATGAATCACATGGAATGAAAAAACCCAGGCCTTGTGATGCCCTGCTCGAGGAAGTTTAAATTAGTTGCTTATGAGCCCTTCGTCGTTCAGATGAAGGGAAGATTCTCACTAACAAATGGCCACTCAGCTCACCCTCAGCCAACCCCGGGGCTGCCAGAGCAGGAATTTCCAAAGGTCTCACAGGATATTGTTTTCCTCTACACGTACAGGATCGTGCTGTTAGGCTCCCCACTTTCTTCATTCTCTCGACATCTTACAGATCAATACGTACACTGTATTTCATTGATTCTAAGACACGCATTTTTCTCACACTTCAGCACCTCTGAAGTTCTAGCCCAGCTATGAAGCCTGTCTTCTGTCTCTGTACTTCGTAATAATGGGAATCATTTCCTCCGTAACTTAATTATTAATGGAAAAGCACAACAGGCCTCTCTCTAAGGAATATTTATTCAGTTCTTTTAAAGAAGGGACTAACTTCCCAGCTGAAGTTTGTAATTGAGATGGAAAAACAGCATCGGCTGAGCTCTGCTGTCATTCTGAAACAGACTGCTCTTTTCTTAAAGTACATTCTCATTAACATAAAGAATGGGCACCGGAAATAAAACTAATCATATTTTAGGTAGCCTCAAATGGAGTGGCAAGGAGGGCACATTCCTTAACCAGCTAAGTCTCATCTTTTTATCTGTACTAGTACCTGCTCTTAACTAAACTGTTGTGAGAATGTTACCTATTAATTATTCACAATATATTTAATAAAAAAATCACAAAGCAACATGCAGCTTATCATCCTATTCACATAAGATTAAGTAAATACTATATGTTTGTGTCTGGATGTAATAAGGTTTAAAGGATCAACACCAAATTCTTACGGCATAGTAAGAGTAGTGGGTGAGGAAGAAAAATAGTATGTGACTTTTTGGGGGTTGCCTTGGGGGAAACGGAGAGGAAGACGACAGGGAAATATTCATTTTTACTTCAGACACTTCTGAATTATTTGACGTTTTTTAAGGAATAGAAATTATTTCCATAATTTAAAAAATCAAAAGGGCATTGATAGAATACTATGTATTATATGATCCCATTTCAAAAGAGAAAAAAATTATTATACCATGTGAATGGACCCGAACCCAAGGGAACTATGACTATGACCCACAAAGCAGGAGAGGCTTACACATAAAGCAGTACGACCCTGAATTTCACATCGAAGTGAAAGTTGCTAAGTGGTTAGGATATACCCTGAAGAATGATGACAACACTACAGTAAATGCTCGGTAATAATCATTTAAACCTTCATGAATTCAATTTTGAGGAAACCATTACACTATTTAAAAAAAGCTTGCTAGGTATGTTTAGAATACAAATAAAGATCAAAAGGTTTAACCGATTTGTAATAGATCATTTAATATCTATTATTCACAAAAAACTAAGTTATATAGTGCCTTGAAATGGATGAATGCCCTCAACCCTCATGATAGCTCCATGGGCAATGTCCTATTATTCCCATTTTACAAATGGTTATGTGATGTGACACAGGTCTTACACGTAAGTGAAAAGACTCCATATCCTGTGCTCTTTTTGACCCTGTTATGTTGTCATCCTAAGACCCATAATTAGAAGCAAAGCCTGTCCATTTGATAAGAAACAGAAAGAACTAGTAGGAACTCAACTTGGCAATAGTTTAACCATTATTTTTGATTCTCAAATGTACCCAATAGCAAATGTAATTACTTTTCCAATTGCTATAGAAGAAAATCTTCATTAATTAGGATATGCTTTCTCCTGAATGAACTTGGATTCCTGGGGCTTTGCTTCATTTTAAACTTATCATCTACATCTACCTCTTCACTCAACAAATACTGAGCTCTTACTATGTATGTGTCAAGAGCTTACTTCTTGGGTATGTGTGTCTTTATATGTGGGTCATTAGTCCTTCCAAGTTCCTTCCAGCATGAGATGTTACACATATGATCTGTTAAGGCAGATCCGGTTACATATGTTGGGCTGGAGAACTTACTTCTTTACAAAATCCAAGGTCCTCTGCATTTGATGATGAATAAATAGTTTATTTATTAACAGTGCCTAAATGTTTTACTAGCAATATTTATCTTTACCACCGAATAAAATTACAACTAGTCATTTGGTAACTAACATTTGGTAACATTTGGTAATTTCAGAAAACTGAAATTGTAACGCTACATAATACAGATGTTTATACTTACAAGAGTGAGGATCATTTTTCGATAATTGAGAGCTGGCATCCTCTTCTGGGAGTCTGATAAAAATAAATGTTTTATCTTGTATTGACACAGGGAGTGTTGGATTATCAGAGATATTCAGCTCTGCATCAAATATTGGAAATTGGCGTCTTGAGATTCTTAAGGGAAGATAAAATAATACAGCAAGTACATTAGCATCCAAAAATGTGTCCTCATATATTATCAGAAATAATGTCATTACAATAACTGATATCTGCTAATAGACAATAAATAAGATGAAAAGGCTACCCATATAGGCATTATAAAAAGCAAATGAGTTTGAAAATAGAATTAGCAAGACTGTAATGTTACATTTATCAGTCAGTCCCCTACCCCCAGCAAATTAAAAGCATTAGATAAAACTGCCAGGGAATTTACCATTCTGAGAATTTGACCTAGTCTCCTCCAGACCAATACAAGGGTAGGTATTATCCTCATTTCACAGATGAGTAGCATGAGGCTTATGCAACTGCGGTGGGCTGCCTCCAGACACAGAGGTAGAAAGCAGAAGGGCTAGGAGGTAAATCTGGGCCCTTCTGGCTCCATAGCCCTTTCTATTTCAATTAATCTGGACTCTCTGGGGCCTTTTCCATAGGCTTACATCACACTCTTTTCCACCTTTCTTTTGTGTGTATCATACATGTGGCCTCATTTTCTCAGTTGAACCAAGTATCCACATCTTCTCTTTGCTTCTATGCCCTCCTCCTTCTTTTGTTCTTATATTTCCCAAGACTAGCAAATCCTATCAGAAAACAGAGCCTGGGGCAGGTGCCTTGTCATAACAAGATCTCCCCTTGGTTATCTGGAAGAAGACCAACTCCCTGAAAAGACCTAATGGCAACCTTGCTTCAAAGCTAGTGGTATCCTACTGCCATCTTCAACCCTTCCTCATAGGGTTGAAAGGGAGGAAAGGGAAAAAGATCAAAGATCAAAAAGACAAAGATCAAAAGGTTTAACTGATTTGCAATAGATCATTTAATATCTGTTATTCACAAAAAACTAAGTTATACAGTGCCTCAAAACAGATGAATACCCTCAACCCTCACAACAGTTCCATGGGCAATGTCCTATTATTGTTATATATCCCAGATATATAAATATCCCAGAACTAAATTTGGGGGTGCTGAGAATCACCATGGAGTTCCTGTTTTGCTTCTGACCCAGAACTTGATTCTAACTCTATGAGCCCCTCTCTGCTATCACTGGGATTCTATGTGACATTAAATATTTGGTGATGACAATTAAGAAGGAATGATGAAAGCAGCACAGCTCAAATGACACTAAAAGGGTTAATAAAAGGAATTCCTAAGTTTCAGATAAACTAACTTCTAAGAAATCTAATGTGCTTTTAGATTCCTCCAAGATTTTTTTTTTTTTAAGATTTTATCTATTTTTTTGAGAGAGAGATCAAAAGAGCATAAGAGGAGAGAGGGTCAAAAGGAGAAGCAGACTCCCTGTGGAGCAGGGAGCCAATGTGGGCCTCGATCCTGGGACCCCAGTTAGACAAAAAGGATATTATACATCCAACACATTCTTGTGCTTAATGAATTAAAATGAACCTACCACATCCGCCCTATCCCTGTCAATCCTTCTTATATTCCTATAGTCCTACCCAGGGCAGACAGGGGCATAGAGAAAGGAAGTTTTGAATGTTCTCATTTCTGCTGAATCCAACCATGAAAATGTTCGAGCAACAAAAACAACATTTTGTAAAAGAGTGTCAAAAAACAAAGATAAATCTTGGCCCAATGAATAAAACAGTCTTAGTATTCTGGGATCCCATCACATAAATTACAGAGGGTCACCCTAAAGGCGTATGCAAAGACTAAGGGAAGAGAAGGATTCTCTTCTACTCTAAGGGGAATAATATGCCATGGGTACCACCAGGATTCATCACAGAAAATACCATATTCCTTTTTTTTTTTTTGGCTTGGGCTCCCCTTACAAAAATTAGGGGATAATTCTTCCCATTCTCCCTTGAAGTCTAATGAACTCATTTCCAAGTCTCTGTTTCCCTTGGGCTTATTCTAATCTCTAAGCTTGATGCAACTTTAATTCATATATATATATATATATATATATATTTTTTTTTAATCGGGAAAATACATTTGCTCTTAAATTTCAATAATTCATGCCGGAACAGTAATGAAAAACATTACCTTGTTTTTCTAACTCTGGGGCAAAGGGTGCGTATATGCCTGAAGGCCAGAATAAGTGTGCTAGAAGGGCACAGTAAACGTACCGCACTGAACTACCCTAATGGAAAAGCTAATAGGTATTTTTTTACTTTGAATCTCTAATACAACAGAGAGAAAATGCAAATTTTTCATTATACTATACCTTGTGGCATTGTTCACAATTAGCTCAGATTCTGCTCTATGGTTTTTCTTTAGTTCAATAGCACAATTTCTTGACTTAAGAGTCTCAAAAAGATCTATCAGCAAGTTACCAGGTTCGATGCTGGGCAACTGTCTAATATCACCTAAGAGGAGAATAAGATATAGTAGGTATTCGGTAACGGGGATCCTGAAATTTAGAAGTTGTTTTTATTTCTCCCTACTGCCATATGCTATAATTATAGTTACTCTAAGAAAAAAGCATCCCCCAAATTACTTAAGAACATCAACTCTTTAAAAACATTTAACAACGAAGCATTCAGAAGGAACAGTTGAGATATAAAAAACAGTGATAACACAGTAAGGTAACATCTGAATTGAACTTCCTTCATACCTATAACCCGGGGCAAACTGTCTAGGGGCATACATTTTAGAGAAAAACGTGCCTTAGAATCTCAGGTATATGGTATTCAGTCACCTACTCAATCTTGCTCAACGTCTTAGTGGACCTAGAAGAATCCATGGCCTCAAATAAATAGAGTGAACATATAAAACACAAACAAGCCCTACATATTTGATAAGAGATAGATTCCCATAATATAACTGATAATGTTTGGCTCTATTAGAAATTTCTTGAAACAAACCAACCCTGGAGTTTAAAGAAAAAAAACAAACCACAACTATTTTCTCAATGGAAACTGAGGAAATGCTTAAGCCACTAACAGAATCAACTGCTTACAGCACATCCTCAAAGACCTAAGAGAATTATTTGCATACAATTTGCTTCTCACGGTATGATTCTCCAAGAAATCATACGGTCTACAGACCAGTGGTACCCAACCGAATCTAAATCTCACCAGAATGGGAAAGGATTTAAGAAGCTACTGATATCCAACTTGAGTTATTAGCCAAAAATCATAAATGCACTCCCAAGTGGTCTATAGTTCAGTCTTCTTATTATTTCCGAATGATCTACATCATTATTTGCTCTAAGGGTGGGACATTTTTACTGTTTTAACAGTCATCATTTAGGTGATTAGCAGAAACCCCTGACAACTCTATTTCATTTTGCAGCTTGCCCTGCTAATATCCCGGCCCAAATGAAGAACCACCTGAGCTGATAGAAGGAGAGGTCAGACTGAACTCAGGGGGGGGGGGGGGGGGCGGTGGGCTCTATGAAATGGCTTCCTGCCTGTAGGATATGGATAATAAAACAGTGAAATGGTGTAAGCCGGCTACCAACTGCAATGCTTTGAACTAAACAATTAGGATTCCAACTCTCTTTAACTTACCAAGGATAATAAGCTTGGAAAGTTTGGAGTGCTCACACAATAACTTCAGAACGGACTTGAAGATTCTGACGGATACCAAACTCCCTTCGTCCACAACCAGAACTCTAACTGAAGAAAACTTCCACGGACGGTTCTTGGCCGGGCTTTTCTTCTCCCATAAATAAAAGCTGTAATTGACCTACAAGCAAAGTATGGCATTTCTAAGTTCAGGTTATAAAGTTCACAGAACAAAATCTTAACAACATGTAATTTTAAAACAAAACTCTTAAATGGGGTGGGGTGGCGGGGGAGGATGTAGGTAAAGCCACACAGGGAGACAGTCTAAAGAACTGGAGGACACACAAGTTAAAACGTTTTAAAACCCTAAAGGGATGGACACACAGAGAAGTAGAGCAAATACATCTAAAAACAACAACAAATATAAGATCAAACAGTTTAAAAAAGGGTTTCCTGGTAAGTACTACGTGTGTTTACTTTCACAAGCTTCACAGCCGGCACTGTTGCACTGGCAGGATCTCAACCCTTCTCTTGTAGCTCTCGACCAGACAGAGCTCCCTGTTCTTTCCCATTCCCAAATAAACCTCTTGGCCTCCTGAGATGGCCTGGTCACTTTAGCCCTCCTCTCCTCCCAACCGTAACACTCCCTTCTGGAAATAAGGTTGCTTTCCCATCCTAATGATGAAAATGCTATTTTTCTTCTAATATTCTTAGCTCCCTTACGCCCCCAACATTTAAAAACCCACCCACCACTACCAACAAAACAACTTAAAAAAAGTATTTATTAAAGATGTAATAATATTTACTATTTTAAAAAATACAGATGAGGACGCCTGGGTGGCTCAGTTGGTTAAGCGTCCGCCTTTGGCTCAGGTCATGATCCTGGGGTCCTGGGACAGAGTCCTGCATTGGCTCCTTGCTCAGTGGGGAGCCTGCTTCTCCCTCTGCTCCTACCCGCCCCCTCAAGCTCACTCACGCATGTGCTCTCTCTTTCTTTCTCTTGCAAAAATAAACAAAATCTTTCTAAAAAAATAAATAAAAATAAAAAATACAGATGAGGAGAAAAATCTGGAAAATAAAACCAGAGAACATTACATATATTGGTATACATCATTCCCAAAATGTTTCTACGTTGCAAGTATGTACAACTATATACGTACACAGATTTCTTACATGGTACCTTATCTTTATTTAATTTTTCTACTGAAGCTAGATTCAACATGTCTACTATTTAGTAAAAGCCTTCATATTTTCCACCCAAATGCATCAATTCCCTTCAACAAAACCCCCATTCTCTCAATGGCCTTGTCTCAAAAGAACATCTGAATCACGGCCAACTGATTCCTTTGATTTTATATATTCAATCAGTTATCTTAGAAATGCCTGGTTGACACTTTCCACTGTATTTTTGGTGTTGCCAACTCAATACAGGCCCCATCTATGAGCCTAGATTACTCCCACAGCCTTACAATCATGTTCCCCTACATTCTAACCCAAAATGGGATTGCCTGATTAATACAGGAATTTCAGATAAATGATAAATGACATTTTAGTACAACTATGTTTGATGCAATATTTGCTACTTGCTTATACTGAAAAAATACTTTTATTTTTTATCTGCTCCATCTGGCAACCCGAAGCCCGAGGGATAAATAAATGGCGTGCCTTTCCTGTGGCCTTACACTCTCTCCTGACCCTAAATGTGACTTCGGAAATGTTCTCCCAGCATCCCAGGCGGATATTAAGATACTACTCATTGATCAGAGTTAGAACATAAGATGAAACTTAGTAACAATGCGTCTCTAGCTCTCCTCTTCTAAGCCAACCCTTCAGCCTAACCAGATGTGAAGGCATAATGAGAAAAATCATAAAATAATCAGAAGACTCTACTGTCAGTGAGCTACACTGAACTTCTCTAGGGCTATGTTCTCTCATGTGACAAATAAAGGTAATGTGTAATGTCCTTTCTGAGGTGGCTCACAGCTATGTGATTCTATGTAATCTTCCTTAAAACTGCTTTCTTCATTTCATTCTCTTGCTTAGGATCCTAAATGGCTCCCCAGTAAACCAAGTCCAAGCTCCGTTAGGTATGCGAGATCTATAATAAAGGAGGGAATTGTGGCACCACAGGAAGCTCAATGAGAGGGGAGGTCACAAACCTGAATCCAAGGGCTAGTAGCTCTATACCTGGTTCCAATCTTCGGCAAGTCATTTAATACCCCCAGTTTTCAACTGGGCTCTTCTGTAAAATGGAGATGATACCACCTACTCACTTCACTGGTTTACCAAGGATTTAATGAGATACTTTGCAAACTTTAAAGCTCAAGTTCCCAGTCTAAACCAAATCTGATTTCCATTATTTTACAGCACACCGAATTCATTCTAATCAATGCCATCATCTCAAAACCATCTATCCACACTATGATCGTTCTCCTCAATGCCTGTGGAAAGGCCTTCCCCCTAAATAAAATTTCCTTCTCACCTGAACCTCTCTGTCCTTTACAGTCCAAGTCAATGATTATTTCCTTCAGAAATCTTCCAACAACTGAGTTCTTTGATCTATAAAATGACAGGTCAGACCTAGAAAAACCTTTTCAGTTCTTGACAAGTTTAAAACTCCACGAGTTCTAACTACAGCCCCAACTATGTTTTTCGAGCATACCAATTCATTTGAAAATTTTATTACTTGACTGTGGGCCATGCATTGTTGTGGGTAAAGGAGCTAAAGAACTGAACCCGATGATCAAAGCCTTCACTTCTACGCAGCTTTCCTTCTATAAAATGGGATAAAACCTTGTCCTTCCCACGCAAGTGCTTCTCAGATAAGGTCTGTTGATGGTAACATGCCTGTAAGCAGCCCCACCCCGAATAAAGCTTGTACCAGAATCTACATGAACTACGACGTGACGCCTACACTTCCGTTTGGCCGACTTCCTTTTCACAGCGAGACTTTCTCCATGAGAGAAGCAGGTTACTGACTGACCTTCCCACACCAGCTTCTGCCTCCCTGCAAACCAGTTGCAGTTTATAGACCAGCTGCTCTGAGTGGCTCTGATCTAAATGTTCTGTGACAAAGAAGGGAGCCCTAAGACATTCAAGAAGTACCTACTGAGTGCCATCAGGAAGAAATTAAAAAATGGGCAAAGTTTTACCTGACACAGTGTGTAAGCATTAAAACCAGTTTTCTCCCGCAGTAAGCCGGCTGCTTTCCCAGTTGGGGCAGTGAGTAACACCTCTAGCGCCTTGTCGGCCTTCTGAAGGCTTTGCTTGGTAAAGGTGATCCATTCTTCTGGGACATCCTGGTCCTGTTCAAAATCCTCACAGGCTTTTTTTACCTCTCTTTCTTCCAACTGCTCCATATGCTTAAAAAGATGGCTAACGATGGTGGTCTTCCCACAGCCGCCTTTCCCACTGATGACCGTCACGGCATTGGAGCAAACCATTTCCAAAGCAGCCACTTGACCCTGGTCCAGTTGAGCTTCACTTATTTCTGCGTTCACGTCATTTTCACCGTTTTCCCAAACGTGGTCACCACTGTCCTGGGGTTCCAGAATGTCCACAGAGTTTTCTAAACTTGATTTGTCCAGTTGGCTTTCGTTCAGTGTCTCGTCGCTTCTTGAATTCTCAGGGTTCGTGGTGTGAATTAATGCCAGCACCCTCTTGACATCCACCCGTAAATGCCATGGAGGCCTCGTCATCAGGTCACATATGGAAGAGGCAATGCCTCGCTCAGCCTGGTAGAGGTCATAAAGGAAGACACAGCCCTTCTCGTATGTCACCACACCAATGTCCTTCAAAAACTTCAGAGACTGCCAAGCCTCTTGGAAGGACATCTGGTCTGACAACTTAGAAGTTAAGTCAGCTTCTTCAATGCATGTGTGCCCTTGGTCTCGACATATGTGCCTCAGTTTTGAATATATTATTAATGCATTCTTCTCCAAATCACTCATCAACCGGAGAAGAGACTTGCACTGACAAAATGATGTCCAACTTGCCTCGCATTGCAAAAGCTTCAGTTCTGTGTAGGTTATCTTTAAGAAAATAAAGTTCAAGTTGGTTTATAAAAATTATAAATGTTGATGAATATTATCAGAATTATATAAAACTGTATTATTTGTTAGTAATGCTTAAGTCCCAGAGGACATGTATATCAACAAAATTTGGGGGAAAAAAACTGGGTACCTAAGACATCATCAAGTTTTTGCCATACTGTAATTAAAGATCTATATACATTTTTAATTAATATTATATTTTCTCGAAGCAATACACATGCAGTTTTCAGAGTCAAATAACACTATGCAGCTTCTCACAAAAGATAGGAATCCCCTGACTCACCCTTTCCATGGCTTATAAAGTCAACACTGTTCTAAGTACTATTTATACTAGCCTTTTTAAAAAAATTTTTGCTATTTAATATTAACTCCCTCCTATGGTAAGTCTTTTTCTAGGGAAGCTCTCTATCTTTTTTTTTTTTTTTAAGCTCTCTATTTTTTATACCATCACCTCCACACCTGCTTCTCCTCTTCCCATCTCTGAAAAAAAGTTATACATTTTGTTAATCAATTTTGGTTAAATCGATGTTAGGATTCACAGCTGAGTGACAGGATATACTATAATTATATTAACTTTTGTGTCAAACTCCTGTATATATAGTGAAATTCATGACTGCCTCACTTTCTTGGCTTGTTTAGGTTTTGACATCCCTCTCAACCATTCTGCCCAAACTCCACTGAAGGTGCACTAAACTTCCTTCACCATGATCCCCTCAGTAGGTTCTCCACCAGCTCCATTTCTCTCCCCCGCCCAGAGAGACATCCCTCCTGGAGCCCTCTATACATTTTATGAGCTAAAATGTGTCCCCGTAAAATTCATATGTTGAAATCCTAACCTGGTAGTATGTCAAAATGTGGCCATATTTGGAGATACGGTCTTTAAAGAGGTAATTAAGTTAAAATGAGGTCATTGGCCCTAATCCAGTATGACTGGTATCCTTATAAGAAGGGCAATTACAACAGATAGGCCCAAAAAGAAGACTATGTGAGGACCTGGGGAGAAGTGTCTTCTCACAACCATGTATAAGCTAAGAAGGACTCAGAAGAAACCAACCAACCAACAAGTTGATTTCGGACCTAGAACCTCCAAAACCATGAGAAAATGAATTTCTATTGTTTAAAATAAATTTCTATTAATAAAATTCTACTGTTTAAACCCAGACCATGGGGTGAAGCACCAACTTAGAGGGTTGGTAGCGCCAGCCATCTAATACCTCACTAATGGTCTTTATTCTTGATGGTGGTTTCCACACCCAACAGTGGGATTTCAAGTCTCCTGTTCCACTTGAGTCTTAGAATGTGCATTGTTCTGTCTCTCTTCTCTACTGGATATATATAGTAATCTAATGCTCCAGAATTTCATTTTGCAAGATATACTGAAGTCATCATCATTTGACATAGGAAACAAATGCATCATTCCAGTATTTTTCAGATTGGGGGGAAAGGGGTTTGGTAAGCATTCTTGGGGATCCAAGAATTATCTCAGAATTTTTAAACTGTATTTCACTTGGAAAACCACCCATAACCAAGTACTGCCAACATTTTAGTGCTGAGTTTGGCTTCCAACATCCCTGAAGTCTCATGGTGCCACTCCTACTCTTGGTTTCTAATGGTAAGAACAGAAGTGGATTCATATTCATATGTAAGTGGTATTATTGTGCCAAATAAAAATTCAAATCATATCATGATGTACCACATGAGGAATGAAAGTTTTCAAAAGTCCAAATAGAAAAGTGAGGGGCTAAACGGATTTGCCAAATTCCTAAGAACTTGTGTCTTCAATGAGATCTATATTCACATTGCAAATGGCCAGTCACCAAAAAGATGTTTTCTATTAAATTAAATTATATAAATAAATTATTGACAATTTCAATGTCATCAATTTTGTTATTTTGTTGTCCTTCATAAATTTCCTGCATAAGAGCTACAAGTATAAGAAGTTTATAGTTGGTTCTAACACAAAAGAAAAATCAACATTGAGATCCATACAAATTTTCTTCCTCTGAAAGAGATGCAAAAACTGTCAAGTTTGAGAAATCCTCCCTTACACAAGATTACTAAATGGTGAGTGTCTTACTTACTTTACTAAATCCAAGTTTCCATGGATGTGTACCTAACATCTCTTCTATGTCTTCCAACACCTTCGTAGAACCCGAGCTTATGAGCCGTTTAAAGTGTCGAGGCAGAAGAACTGGAAGGAATTCCATTACTTTTGGAAACTGCAAAGCTGTCATTACATTTATAAATGGAACTACAGGATAACAGAAAAGAACAAATCAAAACATACAGATGAGCTCACAGAACAATGATGTGATAGATGTCCTCCTGGAGCACAACCAGTTCCAAAAATCCAAATCAAAGAGAGATAAATAAATTTACTTGAACCAGCAAGAAAATTGATTGTATTACAACAATTGATTTTGCACTGAAGTGGTTTTCATCATTGTGTAGAACTCCAAAATTTATGTTCTTCGAATGCTTAGACAACCACTTCTTAGCCTCCTGTTTACTTTTGTGTACAATATAATCAGAGTAAAATTTGTGATTCCATTTATAAAGATAAATTTAAAGCTAAGCATAAAAAATAAATCATTGACATATTAACCTTTATAATCATTTTTCTGACTGTTATCATGATTCTTTTGTCACTGATGTCATTCAGTGATGTCCTGCCAAATTTATTTCATATAATTAAGAAATGAAATATTGCATTCAGGTGAATGTCCAGATAAAACACCATACTAAAAAATTATTTTATACCATTTTGTACTGAAATCTTTCCAAAATGGAATACTCGTATTCTTCTCTTTCTCCTCTGCCTTCTTAAACAGAATAATAATTGGAACTGAATAGTTAACAACTGAACTTTTTCTTAATGACTCAAGGTAATCCAATTCACACAAAAGTCAGAGAGAAACATAGCTTTAGAGCTGGGGAGGAACTGAAAGGAGCTTAAAGATCCTCTCCCCCAACCTCTCCACCTTAATGATGAGGTAACCTAGAAATTACAATGACAAACTCAAAAGCAACAGAAACACATTTTCAAAAACAGATTTTAAAAAAGAATAGTGTGCCAAGATACTATAGTGGTGATATCTTAAAACACATTAGCCATTAAGTATTTCAATTACAATAAAACTGGATGATAAAATCCCACCTACTCGTGTTTTCCACAGGGAGGCACATCTCATTTTCCAGTAGAGACTCTTCCTCTTCATTCTGTGTAGACTGTTTTTGACCCTTCTTTCCAGTTTCCTTTTGGAACGTTCTTAATGTTTCCCTAATATTTCCAAAGTTGAGGTTTTTATAGCTTGATACAGCATTTACCCATGCTAAAAATTTATTTATATAATCACTGGAGAAATTGCAGTCTTTAAGAAACAGGGAACAGATTTGTTTTTGATTTGGCGGTGACATATCACTCTGTAAAAAGTAAGATGGAAATCCTTGAACTTGATAGCTCCTTGATCCCACAGGTTTCACGTGCACTTTCACTCGCCACCAAGGACCCGTTACTGGAAAACGTCCAAACACGTCACATTGCTCTTGCGTGTTTTCATCAGAAATTACAACTTTAAAAAAAAGTTAATTTAAGACATTTTAAAACCTCTTTTTCAATGTTTTACCAAATCTACCACTCTGTTCCTCCCCACAGCACCCTGTACAGGTGTTTATTAGGATATCTACATATACATTCCACTTACCCATTTATCAGTCTCCCTCCACTGTGCTGTAAGCTCTCTAGAATAAGATAATGTTCCACTTGTCCTTGTATTCCAAGAGGTAAATATGGTACATGGCAAGTCTGCTGTTTGTCTTCTGAAAACAGCCATCTCTCTGCTACTCTGACCTAAACCAAAAATGACCTTCATGCAGTTTCTAAAAAATCCCATGGTCCCCCCACCACCACCACCACAGGGCCTTTGCATAAGTTGTTCCATCTGCCTCAAATGTTCTCTTCCTTACTGTTTACCCCGATTTACTACTGACCTCTAAATTTAATTGTCACTTCCTCACAAAAGTCTTCCCTGAATCTCAAGGTTATAACCTCTCAGAGCAATACTTATTATTCCTTTTATGCATTAAGTAACATTACAGTTACTTCTGTAATTATTTTTTAAAATGTCTTGTTTTATTCACCAAAGAACAAGCCCCATTAAGACAGAAACCTCATTATCTTACCGCTCTTGGGTATTCCCCCCCCCCCCCCCCCCCCCGCAACAAACAGCACCCTGCCTGGAACATGGTATGCAGTCACTAATACTTTTAGGATAAATGACTAAACCCTCCACAAATACTTGAAAACTTTCTGTCTAAACTTGTGCTGCCCACTCACATGTGACTATTTAAATTTAAATTAATTAAAATTAAACAAAATTTAAAATTTCACCTCCTCAATTACACGAGCTACATTTCAAGTTCTCAGGAGCCACGTGAGGCTGGTGACTATTGTACTGGACAGCGCAAATTCAGAACAATGCCATCAACACACAACATTTTTCTGGTCTTACCCCTAAAATTTTCTTAGATATCACTCACAACGTACACATAACAGGTATTATTCATAGCACAGGAAACTACACAAGATAAGCTCTCATCACAACGTTACTGACACAAAGTTAATGAATCCACAATGCCCTGAGATGTTTGTGGGTGTGTGTGTGCGCGTATTTTCTAAGTAGCTGGTAAATAAATATTTGACTCCGGGTAGGATAGGAAAATAGTTTAAAACTCTAATTCTGGGTATGAATACAGGCTCGACATCCAACTGTTTCCTCGACTATAAAAATAAAACTACCTCAAAGAGTTGTGAACATCGAATGAGATAAAACACGTTGAGCACAAGCTTAACACGTGGTATTCTCAAGTCATGGCTATTGTTATTTAGTTATCGAATCCTATCCTAAGTAGGATGAAACAGCTAGGCCATCCCCAAAACACGTTTGTTAGCAGCAATGGGGCGTCTTACTTAGGTCAAGGCCAGAACGGGAAACATTTCACCCACCAATCCCATCACCTCGGGGTAGGGGTCTTCCTCACCGTGGAGGCGCCCGGGGAGGGTACCAGCCTTGACGCCTCCACTGCAGAGCTCCTCGGCATCCACAAACTCCAGGTCTTCATCCTCCTCCACGTCCTCCTTCAGACAGTCATCGTCCTCCGCCAACAAGTCCTTGGGTGGGAGCAGAGGTCCCTGCAGTTGCCGCAAGGGCTGACTCGAAAAAGCCATATCGTTCCCCCTGCAGTTCTCCCCAAATTCCGGAAAACCCCGGCAGGGTACACAGCCACGATCCGCCAATCAGCTCCGCTAATTAAGAACTTCCGGGAACGCCCCCACGGCGACGAGCGCGCGCGGAGGGGCGGGGCAGCGGCGAAGCTCCTCCCCAAACTCCCACGGAAGGCGGGGATAAGGCCCTGGAGGGGCGGGATGAAGGCGGGGCGATTGGGGGTTTGGAGAAGAGCGTGCGCACTCGGCATCCAGAAGAGAGGGTCCGAGCTGTTCCTGGACTACACCGCCCGCTGGGCAGCGTCAGGGGTGGCGTCCGCAGAACTTCTAGCACTTCCGGAGAGAGAAATGAGAGGGCGGGCCATGTCTAGAGAGCCTAGAGAGCCTAGGGAGCCCGGAAAAGCAAAGCCCTCCCCAACACCCTGAAACGAAAGCCCAGATGCACTTGAGGGCAAACGGCCACCACCCAAAGCACAGAGAGCGAATCTCCAGACGGGAGACCCGTTTACTCAGGACTGCTCTTGTCCTCCGATTCCTTCAGGACTTGAATTTATGTCAGCAAAGGCTCTTAATCAAGGTACAGTTCTCTAGGCTCCATTCTATACACACCGTGTCGAGATCTAGGGCAGGGACCCAGGATTCTGTCTTTTTAATTTACGTCCCAGGGTTGTCTATTTTGATGCTCAGCCAGGTCTGGGAACAGCGGGATTACCCGACATTCAAAGTCTTTTCATCTTTTCTTCTCTGAGTACAAACTGGTCTCCCAAGCTTCTTTAAGCTGGACTACACCTGCTCACATTGGGGGCAAAACAAAACAAAACAAAACAACAACAAAAAAACCCCTGATTATAGCCAAGAGTATAGAGGGGGACTGGGGAAGGGAAGTAGAAGAGAAGCACAGTGGCTTAAAAACGTTGTTCTGGAGCCATGGTTTCCACGCCTGCTGGGGATACTGTTTGAAAGTCTTGTTACTCTTTGAGGAACACCATAACATATATTATTCTCACTATTTTTGTATTGTTTATTATGGAATTACTCTATTAGTAATAAACCCAAAATAAGTAAGCAGACACTGCTAAATCCTAAAGCATTTTATGATTCTAATATACATGAACAACAGCCAGCACGAAAGGTTTGAGAAAAATTGTGGGAGAAAATACTAAAATTGATTTTTCCCTTTGGGTACAAGTATGTCCCTTTGTTGCTTTTAGAAAAACTGTGTTGCCGCTTACAAAACACCATTGTTTCCAAGGATCCACTATGTGAGCTTGAATTCCTTCCTTAACACTCCTAATGGCTACTGTTTCCACAACACTGAATCTGCTCTGTCACACTACTGGTCTCCTTGTTGCTAAATCCAGTGAATACCTTCTTGCCTGTGTCTTACCTCACCTCTCAACAACCTTAGTTACACTAGTAACTATTTTCTTCTTGTAATACATTGTTTATGACTTGTGTTCTCAGGTTTTCCTAACTCTCTAGCCATGGATAGTTCCTTTGCACTCCTCTTCAGTACTTCTATTCCCCCAGGTTCCATCCTGAGCACCTTCTCACTCTGTAATCCTTCCCTCAATTATCTTTGACCTCCTCTGTCATCTACATGCTCATAACTCCTAACCTATCTGCAAACAGGTGCCCACAACCGCCTGTTAGATGCCACTTATGGAGGGCCCATGGCTGCTTCAGACTCAGTGTATCTAAACAAAAAGGTATCTTCTCCCCAAACCCAGGTCACTTAGACACGTAAGCGTACATAGTATACATAGGATGTTCTTGATACCAACATGGTGATTTGGGCACAAGACTCCAGAAATTAAGCTGCTGTTTATATAACTCAACTGCATTCTTCTAAGTAGTGTAGGTGAGGATTCAGGATGGTGAGAACTTTGTTTCCTTACCTGTTGTTTCTTCACTTAAAAAAATAAAAAATGTTAGCAGTTCTATGTTCCTGAATACCATTTTTGCCTTTTTTACGCAGTAAGCAGCAGTACTCAAATCTGGCTGTGCATTATAATCATTGGGGATGTTTCTAAAAATAAGATTCCTGGCTCTCCCCTGAAGGTACATTTCCATGAACACAAAGCAACACAGACATGAGGTAGTGAGTTTTGGAGTGGCAAATGGCTGGAAATAGCAGAAACGTGTTTAAGAGATTTATTGAATAGGCTATGGCATATCCCCACGAGGGAATAGTCTTCAGTAATTTTAAAAAAGAAAGAAAGAGAGAGATCTCTATTAACTGATAGGGAATGGTTTCCAAGATATATTAAATAAGAAAAAGCAAAAACAGGGCATATAGTTTAATTTATGTGCATGTGGGTAAGCTTGTTTTGGGGAAAAGGAAGGATGGAAGGAAGCGAAGAAGGGAGGAAGAGAGGAAGGAAGGAAGGAAAAGCAACACAGGAGAGATGAACACAGAAATTAATGAAAATAGTTACCTCAGGTACAATGGAAACAAGATAGAGGAGACAAAGATGGGGAAAAAATCGCTGAATTTAACTTTTTAAAAAAAAAAAGATTTTATTTATTTGACAGAGAGAGAGAGGTCACAGGTAGACAGAGAGGCAGGCAGAGAGAGAGGGGGAAGCAGACTCCCCGCTGAGCAGAGAGCCCAATGTGGGGCTCTATCCCAGGACCCTGAGATCATGACCTGAGCCAAAGGCAGAGGCTTAACCCACTGAGCCACCCAGGCGCCCTGAGTTTAACTTTTTGTAATGGTTTGAACTTCTGAACCATGTGAATGTTTCATATGTTCAAAAATAAATAAACCAAAAGCAAACCTAAAACGGAACACAAACAGAAACAAATCAAAATGTCTCTCAAATGTATAACACAAACTTTCAGGGAAAATAATTACTTCAAGTAACTTTTGAACACTTCAAATAAATATTTTAAGTTACTCTGACTATATACCTTTAGTAGGGTATATGCTGAGGACAAAAGATCCACAAAGTAATCTTAAACTTCACCGCACACTATGGTTAATGTTAGTTTTAATAATGTTATTATAATTTTGAAATTACATATTATAGGAGAAAGCAGGTAAGTAAATGTCTTTTTGTTTCATCAAATGAAGGTTTTTAATGTACATGAAAAGAAATACAAACAAAATAGGGAAAACTCCTGTAATATTAAACTTAAATTAGAAACATCAGTATGATCTTGTGATTTCTTAAAATATATTTTCTAGTTCTGTCTACGGAGAGGGCCTGAAAGTAATGTCACTCCAGTAACTCTGATCACATCTACCACCCTAATCTGGGCTTTGGAGTACCATCTCTCATTCAAGGAAGCAGAGGCTTTTTTTTTTTTTTTTTTTAAGATTTTAAAATTTGTTAGAGAGAGAGCGCAAGCACAGGCAGAGGCAGAAGAATGCTTCCTTCTGAGCAAGGAGCCCGATGCGGGACTTGATCCCAGGATGCTGGGATCATGACCTGATCTGAAGTCAGCTGCTTAACCAACTGAGCCATCCAGGCATCCCAGAAGCAGAGGCTTCGTAAGGAATAGCTGTTTCTACCTCCAAAACAAGGAAAATAGAAGGCAGACCTGACACTTCTTGAATCAGATGCCAAGGAAGCCCTCAAAAATTAATGCAGTTATGATGAAAGGATTCAGGAGTCAACTTGAAGGGACTTCCACTAGCCAAATTTAGGGAAATTTGAGTACCAGAAAGAATAATTACTGCACTTGACTGCAACACACTGAGTACATAAAAAGTGATGTGGGGGCACCTGGGTGACTCAGTTCATTAGGAGGTTAAGCATCTGACTCTTGGTTTCAGCTCAGGTCATGATCTCCAGGTCCAGGGATCTAGCACAACACTGGCTCCCCATGCTCAGCGGGGAGCTTGCTTCCCCTCTCCCTCTGCCCCTGCCTCCCCCACATTCTATCTCTTTCTGAAATAAATAAATATATTTTTTTTAGAATGATGTGTCCATTGTGATATTCACTAAAAACAAAAATAAAACCTTTTTAAGAAAGAAAGAAATGGAAGGAAAAAAAGGAAAGGAAGAAAAGAATGCCAGGTAAGACATTTAAAAAGAAACTCAAAAAATATAAAACACCATTTTGCAATCCCTGACGTCATAATTGATTCAAGCAAGGACCACCAAAGGCTAATAAAACCATTAAGTGAAAAGTCAGTGGGGAACCACAGCTCAGCAGTCTAATGGCTATACAAGATTACAAAAGGCAAAGGGAAAAATTTACTTTTACAATGAAGATATTTGTCAGTCACCCCTGAATCGGGTTGTCAAATTTAGTGTCATTAATGAGAGGAACTGATGTTTATGTCTCATGGTATGATATATGTAAAATCAGCTAAGAAGTATTCTTGCCAGAAACATTTAATCTGATTTAAATTAAGGCTCTACACGAGCATTGTCCATAAAAATACAATGTGAACTACATACATAATTTAAAAATTTCTAGTAGCCACATTTTAAAAAGAAACAGGTACCATTAATTCTAATGATGCATTTTATTTAATCTAATATATCCAAAATACTATTACTTCCACATGGTGGTGATCAACATAAAAATCAGTAATGAAATATTTTATACTTGTGGGGTGCCTGGGTGACTCAGTGGGTTAAGCCTCTGCCTTTGGCTCAGGTCATGATCTCAGTCTCTCTGCTCGCAGGAAGCCTTCTTCCCCCTCCTCCCTCCACCTGCCTCTCTGCTTACTTGTGATCTCTGTCTCTGTCAAATAAATAAAATCTTTAAAAAAATACATACTTTACACTCTTGTTTTCATGTTAAGTCTTCGAAATCTGGTGTGTATTTTACCCTTATAGCACATCTTAATTGAACTAGCCACATTTCAAGTGCCCAGTAGCTACACCTACCCGCCTGACTACCATATGGGACAGCACATTTCCAGATCTAATTTCCAACTTGCCTAAAATCGAAGAAACCAAGGTACCTACTAATACCACAAGGAAACAGAAAGATTGAGGACAGAAGTCAGAAAACTGTTTCGTAAAGGGCCAGATAGTAAATATTTTAGGTTTTGCAGGCCATATGGTCTTTATCACATAATTCTC